GAACACGCACAAATGGTTATTCTTAATTATGCTGTAAGCTCTTAATCAATAATTCATCTGTTGACCATAATGATTAACCACCGAGAAACAAGATTAAGCAGTAATCTCTTGAGGAAGAAATAAAAAGGAATGGAATCAATATAAAGTCGTAGCCATTTGCCAGTGTCGGTTAATAATTAAAAACGAAGGAACAAAGGAGCCATTCACGGCCCAAAAGTTTAGGAAACCAATTCTCTCTCTTTTGCTCCAAAGACTTGAACATCCAGAACCAAAAACCAAATTATAAACAAGAAAATACAGATTTATATGCTTTGAAACTTCATGAACAAAAAAAAAAGATGAAAGGAAAAGTTACTTTGGAACATTCTAATTAAAAAGAAAAGAAAAGAAAAAAGAGGAACGACCGTCATTCTTCAGGGCACTTCGGACTTTGAATGGAAGAGAATATACTCTATCCAAATCCTTTGAATTAATTGGACCAGAGTTCCATTGTTCACGGTGTTCTTTTCAATTTTGCATGGGAAAATGTCAAGGAATTTAGGGTAAGGTCGCTTTAATTAACCAGAGTTCCATGGTTTACGTACGTTTATTTCAACCAGCTTTCTCTAGAAAAAAAATTTCTGGTAAAATTCAATGGAAGAATTTGGGAGAAGGAAAAAGAGATCCCGTGTTCATACAGGCAAAGAAACAATCAACCGATCGTAGAATCCGTAAAAAAAAGCACATCCTAAGTAAGATTAGGAGTTTTTTTGAACCAACTATATGACTACTTAAAAAGGATATAAACGTGATTACATTATGAAAATATTAACCTTTCTGGACTTAATAATAGGCGGACCAGAAATCTTTATATATACTTCTGCAGTTAATTTTTCAAACGGAATACTATATATATGTGTGTGTGTGTGTGGTGGTAGGAAAGATCTTGGAAGCTATACTTAATTTGAATATATACGTTTCTCTCATGTAATTAAAGTATAGTTTAACAATATATAGATCTATCTATATATATATATGGATTTTTTTTAAGAAGAGTACTATATTTCATTCATTGATAAAAGGGCATTACAAATATATATCATGAAGAACTTTGCCCCAAAAGGGTCCTTGCAAACTAGATTAAAAGTATTACAATAAAACATCACTAATTACAAAACAATGAGTAGACTTCAAGCACTCATCCGAGCTCATCAGTAATCGCACGATTACTCAGATTAATAAAACTGTTGAACTTCGTATTACAAGGAAACCATAAATTGGGATGGGGTACGATGCCCATAGGTCAATCACATCACCTAATCACCGCCCCAATCCCAGAACACCAAATGAAGTAGATTCACCAAATAAAACAGCTCCACCATTCACATATAGATCCAAAAGAGGTAGCACACTAAAATGAAGCAATCTAATTAACAAGCTCTCCTACAAATAGAAATCAAACTGAAAATTATTAAATATGAATTAATATATTATAGAATTGAAAATTAATTAGTAACTAGCAAGGTGTATCATATTCTATCACCTTATTTAGATTGCAAGTTTAAGAATCTTCAAGAGAGAGCAACATTGCACGATGGACCATCTGGCCAGACTACTAATTATACCATTTATATTAATTTTAAATTTGATGATAATTAACAAATGGATATATCATAACAAGTAATTAAGTCACATCTCAAATACTCTTAGAATTTTCCAAGCATATATATTGCATGTCCTCGTGACTATAGACTACAAGCTAGTTGATGCATTGCTGATGTGTCCCATTACTAATCTCAGGTTAACAGTTCAACTATTGCCAAGTCGAAATAATTATTGATTTGTTTAAGAATAACCAGCATTATATATTAAAATAATGAGAAATTTTATTTAAACCCTTATAATTTCTTTCTACACTCAACTTACTCTCTACATCCATATTAATTTCAATTAAATTATCAATATCTCTTTAAACCCAAATGTCTACCTAAACTACCATCATGAACCCAATTCAATATATATATATAGGGTAAATTACATAAAATTACCGTAACTATTGAGTCATTAACAGTTTCATACCTCGTCTTTAAAAAGTTTCAATGTCATACCTCATCTACGAATTTTTACAATTTCATACATTCTGTTAAATTTCTGTCAATTATTCCGTTAAATAATGATGTGGCATGAGACGGGACCCATCATCTATTATAAAATTAAAAAATTATTAAAAAAATAATTAATTAAATATTAAAAAAATAAAATCTTTTTTTTTCTTCCCCCACCCCCATTATCCCATCCAAAACCCAGATCCCTTCCCTTCCCCCTCCTGCAACCCCCGACCCTTTCCCCACCCACGCCAACATCTCCCCCCCCCCAGACCTATCTCCTCTTTCTTTGCCTCCCACCCCTCTTCCCGACTCGTGCCTTTTTTGGTGATGGGCGTTCTGGGCATTTGGGTTTCGATGATTGAGGAAGAAATCGTACTCCAATCTCTATGTTTCGGCCTAGGGCGGCTCCATCTTTGTATCGTTTTCGTCTGAATGTTTCGGGTCGAGATAGTGGGGCGATTTTTGGTGTTGGTGGGATTGCGATTTTTGGCGTTGGTCGAAGAACTTGGAATCCGGCGGCGGCGGAGGGTAGAAATTTTTCTAGTTCCACATGGAGGAGGCCTGCACTGGTGTTGGTGAGAGGCGGGGGTGGATGAGGAAGAGGGGATGTGGGGAAGGTTGGAGCTGTTGGCGTGGGTGGGGAAGGGGTCGGTGGCTGCAGGGAAGGGGAAGGGATCTGGGTTTTGGGTAGGATAAGGGGGGCGGGGGAAGAAAGGGTGAGGGAAGGGGTGGGTCCCCATGCCAAAAAAAATAAATTTTGATTTGATTTTTTTTTATTTTTTAATACATTAATTATTTTTAATTTATTAATATATAATGAGTCCCGTCTCATGCCACGTCACTATTTAACGAAATAATTGACAGAAATTTAATGGAAGGTATGAAATTGTAAAATATTCGTAGATGAGGTATGACATTGAAACTTTTTAAAGACAAGGTATGAAACTGTTAATGACCCAATAGTTGAAGTAGTTTTATGTAGTTTACTCATATATTTGTCTTTACACCCAGTTAGAAAATAAACCCAAAATTAGTTGGAGACAATTCTGTTTTTTAAACTATTTTCATATCTGATTCTTAAATGTACGAACCTGCTACTCCAATATTTCTCATGAAGAAAGTGCCCATGTAGGATGGTGATCCTCTTCTCTCGCTAGAGTAAAAAATATAGTCACAATGATATACATTGTTCTCATTTGTATAGGATGGATGATAATCATTATCATCAATGTCCCAATCGTCTTCTGTTTTAGTGCCACGCAAAAACCATATTTGCTCAAGTATGATATCCATTGAGTTCATGTTCATCGATTTAAATTATTCTTGAATATATATCAAAGCAGAACTCAAGGACTTTATCAAAGCCGTATTTGTTGTATTTCAAGTTGTTAGAAGTAAGAACAATTTTGTTAATTATCACTATGTTCCGGATCTAGACTTCACTTTTGGAGATGAATCCTTTCGAATTCGCATTGGTTGATGGATGACATTGCTGCTTTCAAGAACTTCAAAAAGTACATTTGTGACATCTCATATCGTCCAGGGGAGTGGATCCTCTAAGACTTATATGTATATTCTCATCCCTACCTAGCACGAGGCATTTTGGGAGCTTACTGGTTTCGGATTCCATCGGAACTCTGAAGTTAAGCGAGTAGCGCGCGAGGTCAATCCCATGATGGGTGACCCACTAGGAAGTTCTCATGTGAGTTCCCAGAAACAAAACAATGAGGGCATGATCGGGGCCCAAAGCGGACAGTATCGTGCTACTGTGGTGGAGCGGGCCTGTGATGTGGTGGACCCCGGGCCAGGATGTAACAATTTGGTATCAGAGTCAATCCTTGGTTGGATGTGTGCCGACGAGGACGTCGGGCCCCTAAGGGGGTGGATTGTGACATCCCACATCGCCCAAGGGAATGAATCATCTAAGCCTTATATGTATATTCATCCCTACCTATCACGAGGCCTTTTGGGAGTTCACTGGCTTCGGGTTCCATCGGAACTCCGAAGTTAAACGAGTAGCGCGCGAGAGCAATTCCATGATGGGTGACCTACTGGGAAGTTCTCATGTGAGTTTCCAGAAACAAAAGCGTGAATGAGTGGTTAGGGCCCAAAGCAGACAATATCGTGCTACGATGGTGGAGCGGGCCCAGGATGTGGTGGACCCCGAACCGGGATGTGACAACATTTCTTCACTTCAGTTGTTTTTACCTTGTATGTTTTGTTATGTATATGCCAAGCTATTTACTAGTGTTTTAGCTTCATTGTTTTTATGTTTCAGTTGGTGGTAGTATTGAATTCCCATTTCCTTTTGGAAGAGTTATGAGTCCTATAGAGAAATTTATTCACGGGCTAACAAAGACCTTCTTTGCAAGCAATATACTTTTAAACTCTAAAAAAAATAAAATCAAACAAAATAAGTTGCATAAATCGATTTATATCTTAGTTGAAGGATTCGGAACTTCAAAAATCATCATCCATTAGTCAAAATGAACATAGGATTAAAGATTGAGGGATGGTAGAGTTTGATTATTGAGTATGAGTTTATTGATAACTTTTAGTTTTATTATTAATTTCATCTTGTACTTAATGATAATTATAGGATAAAAATGACAATTAACATTTAAAATTTAAGTTGGGTGTAAAATAAGGTTATATAAGTTCAAATAAAATTTCCCTAAAATAATTCGACTTGCACTATTATTTTCAGTTGTAAACGAAGCTTAAGCCAAAGAAACTAATTAATTAGAAACAATTAGTCAAGGACGAGTACGTACGTGCCTATCTCATCATCCCAATTAGCTGGAATGAAGCTGTTAGAAAATACAAATTTATATCAATTAATTATGATAATTAACTTAGTTATATCCAAATCATTATATTAATACCTAATAACTGGGGAAGTCATCACCAGATATCGACTAAGATTTCTTTCTTATAAAATTGTTGAAACTAAAGGGGTTGGAACCTCTCTTCTTATTCCAGCCCTTTCTTAATAATTTTTTTTTGTTGGTCACAACTCCATTTCTTTCTTATTCGAAAATATAGAATCTAAGGGCTATTTTTTTTTTCCTTTTATTATCTTTTTCAAAATCCTGATCGAGTAATACTTTCAGATTTTTATTAACTTTTATAAATTCTTTCAAATCTTCATAGAATTGAATGCCCCTAGATTTTATATATGAATTCTTATTAACTTTTATAAACCTTTTTGAATTTTTATTAACTTTTATAAACCTTTTTGATCTTTTAAATGAGTATCTCTAGATTTTTTTATAGTGTCATTTAAAATCCTAGATTTTCAAAACGCTTTTAATTTTTTTATAAATTCATTCGATCCGGTATTAAAAGTGTGCGAACAATAAAAGAAAATGAGATGTGTGTAGATAACACACTTTTAATTTTGAATATTTGCCGGTATAAATAAAGAACCAATACCACCAATTTCATTCCCTCAACCCTTGTCATTGGCTTTCATAGCGATTGCTTGACTGTTGAACACAACAAACACCTTCACGTTAATCCCCCCCCCCCTCTCTCTCTCTCTCTCTCTCTCTCTCTCTCTCTCTCTACATTTCTCGATTGAAGAAACCCAATTGGATTCAGGCGTTTAATTTCCTGTGATGGAAAATCAGCAGCAGATTGCAAAGGAATCGAGATTCAGGCGTATCTGCGTTTTCTGTGGCAGCAGTGCTGGCAAGAACCCGAGCTACCAGCTTGCTGCCGTTCAACTCGGCAAAGAATTGGTAACTCTTATTTCTCACTGCTCTCTTCACTCCTTCTAAAGTTCATAGTTTTTTTATTTCTATTTTTACCCTTTAAATGTTTGAAGAATCGAAACTCTTGTGTCATTCTACAAAATTAATCCAAGTTTGAGGTACCAATTTCTTGGTACTTAGAGAACTGAAGTCTTTAGTGAATTCATTTGGATTAGAGGTATTTGGGATTCGGAGCCATTTCTTAGAACGATATGCCACTACAATGGTATTCGATGTTAATCACTTATTACTATTCATTTTTGTTACATAACAATATATAATTGATTTAAAACATCGTTACGAATATGGCATAAATGATGAGTGTTTGAACTTTACATACTTATATGATCAGATGAGATGTTTGAAGGAGGCACGTCAGTTGGTAATATAAAAAGAGGATACCTTTTTGCAGGTTGAAAAACACATTGACTTGGTTTATGGAGGAGGAAGCATTGGGTTGATGGGTCAGATCTCTCAAGTTGTCTATGATGGCGGCCGCCACGTGTTGGGGTAAAACCATTTTATCTCTAATTTTACAGTTAATTGTAAATTAAAAAATAATAATAATCAACAATGCACTTGTATTATCTTTTTCTAAATTTTTTTATTCCTCTGATCTTAATTTGTATTCTGCTTTTATTAATTTGCAGAGTAATTCCCACAACCCTCATGCCAAGAGAGGTATTTAATTTCTTAATTATGTATTTATTTTAAATCCTTTAATTACTGTTAAGTGAAGGTATTAAAATAAATAATTATTTTATAATCTTAGATCACAGGAGAGTCAGTGGGAGAAATAAGAGCTGTATCAAGCATGCATCAACGCAAAGCAGAAATGGCTCGCCAAGCTGATGCATTCATTGCCTTGCCAGGTACCAAATTCTGCATCGTGACAATGTCTCAAATTAATCACACTTTCATTAATTTCTTAAATCAATTACGCACTTTGTTTACTTATTTCATGTGATAGTGTCACAGTGCATTCGATCAACCACTTCCGAAATAAACCATCCATATGTTAATGTTGATTACAGGTGGCTATGGGACCTTGGAAGAACTGTTGGAAATGATCACTTGGGCACAGTTGGGAATCCATGATAAGCCGGTAATTAATAATTCAGCTTTGGTCCCTGTAAATTAAATAGGACTAATTAAAATTAGAGGTTGATTAGTTAACAAAGTTAATTATTTTGGATGATGCAGGTGGGGTTGTTAAATGTGGATGGATACTACAACTCACTGCTATCGTTCATAGACAAGGCTGTGGACGAAGGTTTCATTGACCTTGCAGCTCGTCATATTATTGTCTCTGCCGAAACTCCCTGCGAACTCATGTGCAAACTAGAGGTACATTTTTGTAATTGTCAAGACTAAAAGATTCCTTCGTCTTTTAACATTTACGAACATTCAATGTTGGCACATATTTGACGGTTAAATTTGATTCAACGGCTTAAACTAAATGCCCGTAAGACGGTTTGGTTTTGATTTTGATGTGACAGTCAAGTATGTTGCCAACTTGCCATTGAGTACGTGTAGGTACAGGTACCTGAGAAAAAAGTGCTAAATGATGAGGTCTCATGAGATCTGAGCCGTCCATTTTGATGACATGATGCTGATAGGGGTTTTGATGTTGATTGACCTGCAGGAATATGCTCCAGAGCATTCCGGGCTGAGTTGGGAGATGGAGCAACAACTGGAATACAAGGCAAAGTCAGACATTGCACGTTGACCAGAACAGGATCTATCATATCGTCGTGGAGGATTAATGACCGTTAGATTAATTCACCGATTTAATTTCTGAAAAATACACAGAATTATGTAAAAGCTGTCAACCATTGGTAGATGTGAGCTCCAATAGAAAAGTGCCAACAACACAGTTGTTTTACATACCTGTGGATCATGCTTTTGGATTTCATTTTTTCTTTTTCTTTTTTAATAATTTTTTTGAGAATTATTTATTATTTATGCTAATTAGAGTCTGACCTGGGTCACAATACCTGCGATTTGATCACTAGGTCTTCATGTCAGCGATTCATGATGTTTGTATATTCTATCGATTCAGTTCGTATATAGTTTCAAAAAATTGATTGGCTGTTGCAAGTTGTTTTTACGAAAGAAAGGACTGAGTGGTGTGATGAGGAACATTATGCAAAGATTATCAAGAAAAAGGTGACATAAAGTACGGGTTTTGTGTTACTTATTCATTTGTTGTAATATTATGTGAATACGATATAATTGAAATGTAACAAATTTGATGTTTAGTTGTAGTAAATGGAAGAAAGGAGGTTAGAACCAGAATCAAAACACGAGTGAACTAGGAACACCTCAAGGCTCAAGACGAAAATCAATTTATGTGTTGCAATGGAAGTAGACTAGTAATACCATGGAGTAATATTTCTCAAACCAAATGAGAGGAAAGATATTTTTTATCGTCAATTCAGCACGTGATTATGCTCTTATTAGAGGAGTGGTTCACTTTTTAAATGCATGACAAACATTAATTGGCTGAACTACAATATTACAACTATGACTTGATTGTAAGAGAGAATCGGACGTGAACTTAGAATTCTTTTAGCATTGGATTGAATGTTTATCTAAATTCACTATTTGTTCCTCATTACATTGAATTGAACCAATGCTATTTATATTTTCTTACTTTTTAAATTTAGAGTATTGCTATTTACACATTTCTTTTTACCTTTTAAATATCGATCAAATGAACAAAAAAAAAAATCAAATAACAAAAATTAATAAAAGTAAAAATGAATGTAAATAACACCGCCTTTATCTTATTATCTGAGCGAGTGGTTTGAAGAGTCTTTAACTAGGACTGGAGATTATTTTTGGGTGGTGGTTTGGTTGGTGACAAGGCTAGGTTGTTCATCACGCAAAGTAGTGGACATGACACCTGTCATTGACTGTACCAATTACAAACTGTCTAGAGTGCGAAAGCTATGGTGGAAAATTAAGTGGCCCTCTCTTTCCTTGGTGCTATGTTGTTGTCGATGAGATCAGAGAGTAGGGACTATGTACTTGTGATAATACATGTCGGTATGGCATCTTCACAAACGAGAACAACTTTCATGCAACGACGATCCCGTTACTTTGTAAGAGCTTACTTGGGTATTGCATCTTATTCGACTTGGCAAGAAAGAATAGCCTATCAGCAAGGATCTCATCACTTATGAGATAAAATATGTGGGTGTTGCATCTTGTTAGACTTCAAAAGCAAAAATTTTCATTCAACGAGAATTTTGTTACGTGTGAGATAAAAAAAACATTACATCGTTTAACAATGCGTAAGTGACGTGAGATACCGTCACAATAACTTGCGAGCAAAGTAAGAAAGCAGTTGATTGAGACCCAAAAGAGAGAAGTAGGAGTACGGAACTCCTTTGAGTTTTGATGGTTGTCGAAGCTGCATGACCACTTTGTGTGGTTGATTTCCATATATGGATAGACATCAAATGGTGGTGTCATGCGAGTCTACAAATCCTGTAGAACAACGCAATTCCGTTCTGTTGTGGATAATGCACGACCGCATCAGTCAGTAGTTGTCGCTCTCAACTTTAACCTTTTTCTTGGAGCGAGAAAACTAGGAAATCCAAATCATGTCTCACTTCCCATCCGAAACATGAACAATTACATGCACTAATATTGAACGACAACAACGTCATTTTAACCCAAAACTTTATGGAATCCACATAATATAAGTGATGTATTAGTCTCCTATTCAAGATGATCGTTTTGACCTTTTCGAGTGGTAATTTTTTACATTCTCGTTCTCTTCTTTACACTATTGTGTTTTTCGTTTATTTATTTATGTATTTATTCAATTTAAGAGTAGAAAACGAGATTCTTAAAAATAAATTAAAAAATGCTAGAAAACGAGTGTAGAGGAGAAAACTTGAATTTTCAAGGCATTCCACAAAGTTGAACCACAAAAGCTCTAAACTTTACGCAACAATAGGTCAATTGACTAGAACAGTGTACCACACAAATTCGAATCTTCTCCCTCCTAAATTAGGGTGGATATTAGTCCTCTTTGGGTCTGTGTCCGGAGGCGACAGATAAGAGAATTCGAATAGTTCAAGAGAGTGAGAAAAAGATCCAGATCGTTCAAGGGCTTGGTTTTGTATGAAGGTGGGCCAGTGAGATGGGCTGATGATAGCCGCAAGATTTAAATTGAGTAATCCAAATTCTCTGGTCCATTGGCTCAGAACACAAGATCTGGTGAGGATCTGAAATGGAAAGCAAATACGTACTACTGCATTACATCACTAAATTGTGTATAGAAACAGTCCCCAGGGCATGCATACAAACAGGTACAGAGCAATATATATAATACAAACAAATGTAATCAGTTATCTAGGACTCTCTAGGTGAAGGATTTAACTGCTGAAGAGGTTGTCACCAAACTTGACAGAAGGCCAACAATGACGGCACTGTTGTATGTGCTCGGCTCCCCTTGCTTCGAGTTGTTCCGGTCATCAATGTATGTTTCGTTTAGGAATGGCCCGCCGACAAGTGCTCCAACGGCTATATTAGGGTTGGGTTCAGTTGAGTTAAGGTACTTGAATCCATCTTTGCAGCCAGTCTTCTGATTAGCCGGGATAGAAGCTCCTCTGTGGTGTACGTATTCGGGATATTTATCCCCGTACCCGACAAGAAAGCTCATTTTCATAGGATTGTCGCCCAAGACATAATCCGCCTATAAAATTCGAAACACATTAGGAAGGAATACACGTTTATGACGAGTTACGGCTGTTTGTTGCTAACACCTGTGCATATATGCAAAATGTACTTGAGACACATCAGAAAGCATACCTGAGATCTAACAAATTTCCGAATATCCGATGGCTTATAGGTATCTCCATCGCACTCTAGTTTTGTGGAGCGAGATGTAAGCATGTAGTCACTGTAAAGAGCAGCTAGGAAAGCAGCAGCAACCGGATGCTGCAGAGCATTCCATTCACTGACCCAGATCAGACCATCTGCAATGTGGACACCATGATAGTAAGCGAAGGAGAATGAGAGATATGGAAAAAAGAACTGATAAATCAACTCAAATTGGACTACGAGCATATGCAAACCAGCCTAGGAGATTTGAGTGTGGTGCATAAAGCTAAAAGGATACAAAAGAAAATAACATTTCCAACTGTGGACACATGATAGCTTGAAAATATCTGAAACCGTATGCATTTTGGTGTTTAAAGCTTCACGTTTGCCTAGTATAAATACACTATCTTCTACATAATAGGAAGCAATTGTGTTGGTCCTCCCTAGTTGTTTTGAAGTGCAAATCAGTTATTATGAATGGTGGAGGAGTTAGTTTACAACGGAGGCTGTTAGATTGGTGAGTGTTTATAATATTATCAGTAACATCTAGATTAATTGCTGCATTAGAATGTAGAAGAAGCGTTGATATAGTTTTGGAGAACTAATCTCGATGCAGGGTAGCAGGAGCAAGGATTTTGATTTAACTTGAAGAAGAAAAGATATGCATGATAATCCATGTAATATGACAATAGTGAAGAAGATTACTGTCTGTTCTGCTCTTCGTGGCTGTTGGCGAGCTTGGCAGGAGGCCACATATAACAGCCTCAGCTGTTTTCCTGTACTTTCGAAGGCCGGAATTGTCTGAGGTGTCCTTCCCACCAAAGAAGGTCAACCTTGAAAGCAAAACCTGCATGAAAATTGCCGAGTTATTGAAAATACTGAAAGACGAAGTTTAATCAAGTATAATGGTAACTTATCTTGCAAATGGAAGTCCTACAAATATAGCTATAATAATCCAGGAAGAGTAACACATTGTTAAATTATACGTTTCTCGGGTGAGTTGCATTTTACTGTGGCATTTGACAGATTAAAACACAGCAGGAAAAACAAAGAAAGGATTGTTCTCAACATACCTGGGTTCCTGCAAGCTTGTTATCCCAACTGAACCATGTCGGTTTACCAAATTGAGCAAACTCATCTCCATTCTCCCCTGTGACGTAATCAAGGTATTCCTTATCCCCAGTTGCATGGTAAAGCCAGGCTGCTGCCCACAAAAGCTCATCTCCATATCCCGTTGAATTGTAAAATTGCTGGACCTCAGGGATGCTTTCACTGTAAGAACCTCTGTTTTTGTCAGCAAAAGTAAATAACTGTTTGGCGTGCGTGAGAAGCGTATCTGAATATTTGGCATCACTTTTCTTGAAGACCAGAGATGCTGAAGCCATAGCTGCTGCAGTTTCAGCTGCAACCTCCGTTCCTGGAGAGGATATGTTAACCTGTGTGACTGGCCTACTCTCGGTCATGTCTTCCGGCCTATACCAACATGCATGGTCCTTTTTAGGGTCACCTACCTGCCCCAGAATATGAATTGACAAGTAAGTAACACTTCATAAGCATTGCAATTTGCAAGTAATGAAAATGGTTCATCATTACACCACCTATCATCCCACACAGTGCTCTGTAAAAGTTTACCGCATATTCAAACCAATTACCCTTCCGAAAATCAACTGTTAGCCTAGAAATCAGTATCACAATACAATGCTGATTTATACGAACCTGAACGTAGAGCACATTGTCCTTGGGATGAGCATTGACAAGGAAGTCAGTGATCCACTTGAGAGAGGCTTGAGCAGTATGTAACTGATTCACCGCATCCATCTGATCACCATACTCAAGAATCGCCCACGACAACACTGTGGCGGTATACGCCATTGGAAAACCAAACTTCATGTGATCCCCAGCATCATACATTCCCTTGGACAAATCCAACTTCGCATCACTTCCATCTTTCAGACCCGAATCCCCTCTCCACGATATCTTGTTATCGACCAACTGACCAGCTACACATGACAATCACCCACAAAATAAAAAACAAAACACAGATCAAGCACTTCACAACACTTAGCAAACTGGGTTTTGGGTAATACGAATCATGTGAATCACCTGAATAGTTGCTAAGTAAATTAATACATCGAGAACTCGCAAATTCGCAATGGAAAAGATGAAAAACAAAGATCGAACCT